TTGCATCAGCCCACTTCCAGACAGAAGGTAAAAGCCCATACATCCTTTATTTGAGCATTTCACAAATAAATTACAAGTTTCTTTGCAACCACGTCATAAATCAAAACGTTTATTTACACCTCAGAAACAGCAAGCAATTCAGCAACTAGGGCCCAAAGGAACAATTAACTGGAAAAGTAGCTGAATTAAGGACCTTTAAAATCAAACAAAATATTTCCAGACAGAAGGTAAAAGCCCATACATCCTTTATTTGAGCATTTCACAAATAAATTACAAGTTTCTTTGCAACCACGTCATAAATCAAAACGTTTATTTACACCTCAGAAACAGCAAGCAATTCAGCAACTAGGGCCCAAAGGAACAATTAACTGGAAAAGTAGCTGAATTAAGGACCTTTAAAATCAAACAAAATATTTTCCTCCTTGCTTGAACTTTTTAAAAAAAGAAAGAAAATCATTAAAAAAAAATCCTGATGGTAAATTGAAGAGACAGATTGTTATGGGGTAGATGTGGTATACAGGAGGGTTCTGGCTGAAATGGCAGTAACAACACAGCTTGTTTGTACTGAGTTCACCATCACAGTCCACCAGACACGGTCTTATTCCACAGTCCCAGTCCCAGGCAGGGTGTGTGTGCACATCTATGCACACAGTCTGGCTTTAAGCTACATTCATTTGAACCCCATATCAAGTCATTGAATATAGTCATTGCAAGATGCAGAGGAGGAGTGTAATGTTCAAGGCTGGATGAAACTTTCCCAAACAGCTGTCCCACTGTAAGCACAGTAATGCAGAATTCTGGCTCTAAACCCTTTCCCTTCCACTACTGGTGACCTGCTGATACACAGAGAACTAAAAATGAGTCAGTAAACAATTATGCATATCTTCAAATGAAATAATTGTGTTAAGAGGGAACAGCTAAAGGCAGCAAAAATACAACAGGAGAGTTGGGATAAGTCTGGGGTTTAGTGTGTGGGGTTTTTGCCTTTTTTTCCTTTGCTTTAAATTAGGCTGGTTCAGCATATGTAACTCATGCTGTCCCTTAACTCATGTATTCATCCATAATTGAGGGAATTAAACTGTTTATGCCAAGCCCCCATGTCGTATCAGTCTCCCTCCACCTGCATATATTATATATATATATATATTTATATGTGTATGTGTATATCTCTATATATCTACATATATACACACATAGCAGTTGTGCAACTAGTAACTTTCCACTGAGAGTGCATGAGTGCATCCATTTTATTTGGACAAACACAAATCAGGTTGTGGATCCTGGTGTGAGGCAAGAGAACAGTGTAGTCAGTGGGTTCTGTGCTTTACATAGGAAATAGCTATATCTGCTTTAGAGAGAATAGTTGTAATGATAATTACTAATGTACTTCGCATGTTAATTCTAAAGATTATAGATCACAGAGTTAATTGAAAGAAAATAATTGCCATTTTATTTATCTTTTTGTTAACATCGGACAGAATGTCTCAGACAACAGATTTCCTAGAAATGCAATAAAGGCAAGATAGGATCAGACTTGGTGTTCTCAAGCTGATGTGACTTTAATATAATTTATATTGTGGTTGGCTTTTTTAAAATTAAATAAGACATTATTAAACCCATTCAGAAAGAAACTTAGCCTTTAGACAAAGTGATGTAAATTATTTGTGGACAGAACTCTGCTTTGTTTCAAGGGGCTGAGTGCATCAGTAGAATTTGAGAAGAAAATTGGCAGCTTTCTCAGTATTTCAGATAGGAGGTCTTTGCAAGGGAAAGACAAAAGTTGTCAATATAATATATGTCTCTATTTTTTTTAGTGATATTTAAGCTAAGGCCCTAAAAACTGATTGTAAGGCCATAATTTAATCAATGAGGTTTGTATTATAGTGATCCTGACCATAAATGACTACACAGGAGTGCAGGACAAACTATTTGGCCACAGCCATTTCAACTAAATGTTAAACCAAATTATGCTGAGAGCCTCAGGGACACACTGAGGTGGTCAGTGAAGGACACGAGTCACCTGTGGGAGACATCTAAGCTGTAGGTTCTCTGTATGTCACAAAACACAGACTTTAGAGAATATGTAAGCACTCAGCAATCCTGTGACAAATATTGCAGCCTGACTGTTCACAGCTGACCAGCAAAAGCAATACGTGGGGAGGTTTAGATGAAAAATTTCATCTAAATACGATTAACTGAATCTCAAGTCAAGTAATGGAGTTGCTCTTTGATTTATGGCAGTGTAAACACGATGAGAACAGGGCTCAGAGAGTGTATTAGCCAGTGTTCCACTCTTACCTACTTTTCCTTGATATCCAGTAGGAAATTCAGCTCATTTCCCTTTGTTTTACTCTTCGGAGCTACAGTTACTGAACAAAATGTACATTAACAAATGCACATAGGCATATTATAAAGCACACGCATGAGGCCTACAGACAAGGGTTCAGTTAGCAAGGACACCAAAAATGAGACATTTCTCTTGCTAATAAACTCCTCTCACTGGTTGTTATTCCCAATTTTTGTTTCAACAGCAGATAGTCTTTCAAGTGAAATGATTTTTGCACTAGAAGTTTTATGCATGTTACGAAATGATAGTCAACACTTTCACTGCCTTTCTGACTCCTAGACAGCATTATCTATCTACAAACATAGAGAGAAATAAATGTTGCAGTGACCAAAATAGCTAGGGCTATGTTATAAAAACAGCAAGCTTGGCACTGAACAAATGCTAAACATAATTAACTATTCAAAAAAAATGACAACCGCTTTTGTAAATACTCTTTCATGATACTGTAGAAAAATGTAATAAATTATTGTTGCTCCTTTGTTTCAGGAAATGGGCATCATTTTTTGAGCCAGAGATGACAACCTTATTCAGGTAGGAAATAATCAGACTTTAATATGGTTCTTCACTTGTGTAATGCTACAGAATGTGCCACGATCTCGTGTTAAGTGGGTTTTGTTCTCAGGTACAGAGAGGGAGAGACATTAACATGGCAGCTTCATCTTCTCTTTGCATGTTTGAGTAATCCAGTGCTTAGCTCCATGTGAAGCCTAGAGACACACAAAGGCTGGGAGGCTTTAATCTGGGTGCAGAGACAAAGTGATCATGTGAATGAAGGCTTTGATGCATCTTGGGTCAGCATTTCAGCCATGGCACTGACCTCTCTGCACGTCAAAAAGTTGCAGTGTTATCCAAGAAGAAAGATCTCTTGTCCTTGGACACAAAGTGGTAGAAAGAGTTGTTCCATTTTTAGTGTAGTTCCAGACAGAAGAGCTTTTTCTTTGTTTCTCATTTTGGATGCCCTTGGAATGATGCACCAAATGCTCTGTGAGCCTTGGTTTAGAGGAGAGAAGGGCAACTTTATCTGGTAGATAGAAATGACACGAATCTCAAAGGGTATCTTTCCAGAGGTGGGTTTTGCTGGAGAGAGGAAAAAAAGCAAGTAGAAAAGGAGTATGTGTTGGGGAGGATATTAAAATTTCTTTTATTCAAGGTAGAGGTTTTGTAGATCAAAGCACAGGGTGCAGAATATCTTTGGGTGTATTTGGGTGCATTCATTAAACATACATGTTGAAAATCCAGTGGTATCATACACTGGTTTAGTTTTTCCTTTTGAAAACTTTGCCTGAAAATAATATATTCTTTTAAAAATGCAATTGTTGAGGAGAAAGCAGCAGCATATGGTTATTACAAGGCAAGGGGCAGAGAAAGAGAACTAGAAGCACACCCATGTTAATGCTGAGATCAGGCACTTCCCTGCTGGAATGCCTGCAGCTGCCCACAGCCCACTCCTGATGTCCTTGATCAACAGAGGCTCCCACTGTCCCTGAAGTACCACTTTGGTAACTGGACACGAAGTTTGCTGCAAGAGAAATGGGGTCAGGGGGAGGTTTTGCTTGGTCAGGACTGCAGGAGTTAAGCTGGAAGAGAAAAGCAGTTCCTGTCTGAAGGCAGCTCATATCTTATCAAGAAATCTACAACGTTAGGAAAGCTCACAACACAAACTCATTTTTCCTCTGTCGCTGTTGTTATTACTCCTTTTGATTAAAAAAAAAAAGAAAGAAAAAGACCTGTTTCATATTTGGTACAATACAGGAAGTCAGAGAAAAGCTATTGTACAGCAGATTTTAACCACCAACACACATTTAATATCTAGTGTAGCATTATGGATAAAAACTAAATGTATGTTTGGACTTTTTAATGTTTCCAAAAATCTGTACTATTGAAACATAGACGTGGTGTGGAAGATATGCTCATAATCTCACTGTAGTAAAGATGACATACAGGATGACTCATAAGTACTGTAAAAATGCTAACTAAAGAATGCAGCTGCAAAGTTCTATTGCATAAGGAAGCTTTCTTGTTTAAACTTTAAATAAGCAAGTTTATTAAAATATTCTAAGACACTTACCTTACCCTAGTTACTGGCAAGCTCTAATAAAAGCCACAGTCTGTCACTAGTATACTTTTTTGTGTTAATTTTATAAAAATTTGGTGTGAGCTTTGATGGATCATTTACAATTTATTAACAAGATGATCATCTTCGTACAGTTAGAAGGGTTTGGGGTTTTTTTTTTTGACCTTACATGCTCACAGAATAAAAAAGGATCATATTCATATAGAACAAACACCCTTTTTTCCCATGTCTGCAAACAAGTGTGGTATGTTTACACACACAAAGAAATGCTCTTGTTACTCTTAACTGGAAACTGTGTGTACATGTGTATGTATGTATATATATATTCAAAACTATATATATATGTGTGTTTGTGAGTATATTTATAGAGTTAGGGCATTGATGTTCCTCCGGGCGCTTACGAAGCGGCACAGAGGCTGAGAGAGAGACCAGTGCTCTGAGAAACACTGAGTTTTGCTGTTTGAATCAGCTTCTCACCTGCAGACATCTGCCTGCCTACCTGTGTCAGCAGAGCTGACAAAGACTGAAATGTTGTCAACTGCCCTTGGCAAGAGATTTGAACCCCTTTAGCCCCTCTAAAAATCAGGCTCAGCACTGTGTGTGGTGACCCTCATAGCTGGTCACAGCTGGCTGCTCCTCTCGGATCATAAGCTCCATTTGGGGCATAAGAAGCACAGTTCAGGTCAGGCACAAGCCCAAGGGGCTTGCACATCTTGTTTGCTGAACCTGAGGTATGAGAAGTGCCATGTGAGAGCCCTGGGCCTGCCTGGTTTGTGTTGGCAGAGCAGCTGTGGGAGTGGTGGGATGGCAATGGGCTCTCTCCTCCTGGCCACACTATAAACAGCAAAGACAGTAGGTTTAGCCATGGTAGAACAGGTACAATTCATCTGTGGCTGTATTACTCTGCGTCTCCCTTGCACGCTCCAGATGAATGTTTTATAAAAGCTAAACCTGTGGTATAACTCTTCTCTCTATATAAATATATATATATACATACACTCATACATATACAAATACTAACCCACAGACAAAATATTTTCTGAACAGTTGAATAGCAACAAGTCAACAGATAGAAAAAAATGGAGTCAATCTGTTTTCTGCTCCCCCAAGGTTGGGTTTAGGTGTCATGGTCTTTTAACATTCAGAGAAAATTGGCGTAAACCTTGTGTCTGGCAAGAGGAATCCATTGAGAAAGGGAATTGGGGCAGAGGCTGTCGAACACCAATGGACAGTTGGACAGATTAAGTGAGGTTGCAAATGAAACTGGAGCAACTGAGGCCGAGGAGTGAAGAACAGTAACTGTAAACTGCAATCTTCAGATCTGATGGTTTTTCATCTTCTCGTTGCCATGGCAACTCGGTAGGACAGCTTCAGCTTCAGCAATTCTTACAGACCTAAAGGGTGGGAGATGGGTGTGAGTATTGCCATGAAAATCACAGGATCTAGTAACTGTTTGGGGTTTTTAATTCCCCCAAATCAAATCGCTACACTGCCAGTAATTAAATATCAATTATCTAAGTTCAGGAGCAGTTATTGGTGAAGGCAGAAATCTCCAAGAGGAAAGCCCAAAATGTCACCTGGGGCATTCAGAGACCTTTGTGGCTCAGTTCCAGAAGTTGTAGTGTGGAGGTGTGAGCATAAATCTCGAGGCAGGACCTGATTCTCCCCTTTGACACCTCAATCAGTTATAACAGTTGAAAGAGCACAAGGAAATGCCAGTGAGTCCCTCCCTCATATGCACATACACTGACAAGCAAAGAGCAAACAAAAAATATCTTTAAAAGATAACACATTCATGGTGTCTTATAGCTTGTGAATATACCAGGGAATGAAAGAGCTGGTGTATCACATTAATGTTGCTACAGAAATATAAATCTTAGGTGGATTTTTATTTAAATCAAGTGAAGGTGGCACTACTTGAATACTTTTACCTATTTCAGATGGGAACTTTGATAATATCAAGACAGTAAAGGAGTTCAGAAAAGAAAGTTTAGGAGCAAATGTAACATTAATTGTAAGTAATGTGGCATTTTCTTGCAGTTTTTCTTAGACACTAATAAATTGCAAATATTTGGCTTTACATTAAAACCACATAGGAATAGCAAGAACAGTGTTAGCAAAACACATAGCTAAATTGGCTCTGCCTTCTCTCAGACAAAAAAGACTTCTGGTTGTACATTGGTGTTTTACTGCTCTGGTTTTGGCCACGAGGGAGTTAACTTTATTCACAGCAGCTCATATAGTGCTTGGTTTGGGATTTGTGACCAGAGCAGTGTTGATAACACACCAGTGCTTTATTTATTGCTCAGCAGTGCTTACACAGCATCAAGGTGTTTGCTGTTTCTCCTCGTGCCCCATGAGTGAGCAGCCTGGGGGGGAACAGGAGTTGGGAGGGGACACAGCTGCACCTTGGGATGTTCCACACCATATGGTGTCATACCCTGCTTATAAAACTGGGGAAAAGACACATCAAAACTCACTCAGGAAATGTTACTCTAATATCTGTTGCATTTGTACACTTAAAAGATGTGTTATCAACAATTTTGTCACAAGCACAGACATGTGTAGCACCAACAGGAACACAATGGCCAGTGCTGGATGATGCTTTGTGTCCTTTAATCATTTTTAATTATCTGGTTGTCATTTGGAGCAAATCAGGTTTTATATAATTATCGATAAGGCTGTTTCACTTCAGCTGTTTCATTCTTGTTATTCTTTGAACTGACCTCAATATTGAATTTTTCCAGATGGGCTGTGCAGCAAGGCAGAGGCCCCTGGATGACACACACCTGCCTGTCCTTTACCCTGCAGCACCACCTCAGCTCTGGTACACAAAGGGAAGTGAAGCAAATCAAGCAAGCATGAGAAATCCCTAGAGGGACTGATGGATGGGGTTCATCCAAGTGAGAAGTTTCACTGAGATTTGCAAATAAGATAAAATCTGGAATTGCTTGGATTTTTAGCATGTTGTTTGAAGAAAAGGCCTGGCCACAAAATCAGGATCCAGACTTATATATAGGAGATTGATGGTCATGACTGCCAAAGTGTGGATATATTTGGATTAGAGATTCCAGCTAGGACTAAATTCTTGTAAACAACCTGATCTCTGGGGTAGTGAAAAGAAAGAGTTTGGGACTCTGATCTCACAGACTACCTGAAAAATAGTATTTCCAGATGACAATGAAGTTTAGTGCCATTAAAGGGCATTTGTTCAATCCTGGCTCAAAGGAACTAGCACTAGCTCTTTGGATTGGCAGAGCTACCCTGAATCCTTAGGAGATCCCTTGAGGTCTTCCTGCTAAGGACAGGCATTTGCACATGATGAATGAACAGCAGCTGTGGCACTGAATTTCTGTACAATCCATAGGCTGAAACTTCACCAGAGGAATCTGTCAGCACAAAATTTATAAGTATCACACAAATTCAAGCAGCCACTGAGTGCTTCACCAACAGCTTGTAAATAAAGAGCAGTAGTTATTGATTTATGTGCAGACCTGAAGAAAAGCTTGTATATTTTACATCATATTGACAGACATAACGAACGTTACTACCTTATCATACACGTTGCCTTTCCTGAGTAAATGATGTATAAAAACTTAGTTCTGCTTTAATTATGAATATGCTTTTTCCTGTGCTAGTTTTTCATCTATTAAGGACCAGTTTCTCACTCACAATCTAAATATACTTTTGATCCTCACTGTTACCCCATGTACCTCTCAAGTACCACCCCATTCCTCATCTACCCCTTTCACCTCAAAACTCTGTAGTCCTTGCCTAGACTTTCTTCTGCTGAAATTGCTTCTCAGTTTCATTCTTCTGACCTATCAGCTGCTTTCAACCCATTTAATCACATACATACCTGAAAAGCTGATGTTCCTTTGGCTCCTGTGACTATTCCCTCCTGTCATTTTACCATGATTTCTCTAATCACTTTTCCACCACATCCTTCTTTCTCATTCCCTCCATCCCAGGTTCCTTGGGAAACCTTTCCTCCCTGCTTTAATTTCTTCCCCTTCTCTGTGACACCATTCATATCCATTCAGCAATCACATCAGTGCTGGCAGTTCAGAGACCTTACTTGCTTTTCCATTTAGCCTAAAATGTCAACCTTTAGCTCTGATACCTTTTGGATATTTATCTGACAGCTCTGCACAGCTAAAATTCAGCTCTTAAACCTTTCCCCTAAAGCACTCCCTTCTAGTTGTTCCTTTGATTGCTCAGGACAACACTATCATCCTGCCTCTTGTTCAAGCCTAGAAACAGAAGGAAACCAGAGGAGGTTTTTTTTTTGTCATGGAATCTCCTTTCAGAGCCTGTATATTTAGGTTATGTCAATCTAGAGGATTCTTTTGCACACATTGTCCCAAAGGGCTTTTTCTAGCCATTCAAACAGCGAAATCTCCTACCCAGGTTCTCCTCGGTTAGTAGTTTTGCAGCATCTTTTCTGAGCCCTTGACAAATTGAAGCTCCTGTGTGCTCATATCCTGTCAGTCTTTTGCTGTACAGAGCATTTTCCTAGTCTGCGACTTTGACAAAACCTCTGTAGCTCTGACTCCTTCATGGCCTCTTCCCTCCTACACATGTATTCTTGGATTATCCCTACACAACCTGTTTCTCCTCTCATTCATAGCCCATGATGGCAGCTATCATTGACGTGTTTTCAAAGAAATCTGTGTAATAGGAGGAGCTCCCTGCAAGCTTCCCTAAAATGCTGTCTCCTAACACCTGCTTTTGCTGACACTTCTACAAAACTCTTGGCATTGGCAAAGGCTGCCGAGACTACTGTGAACTCAGCTCAGCCCTTCCACCAGCCCTAACTGAAGTTGTGTTAAAAGAATGATCTTATTCCAAACATTGCCTGGAGGAATAGTAGTTACCCCTCTGCTCATTAGTGATGATTGACCCTTTTGTAAAGGTTGATTGCTGAAGGACTAGTTTTTCCCTTTAAAAATCAGCTTCAGCATTCAAAATTATGGGTTGTAAAATTTCAGTAGATATATTTGGTAAATCAGAATACACAAGATCTAATCTATCTTTATTCTTTCTATTGCACACAAAGTTGATAAAAAATTGCTTCCGTCCTACAGAGAAGTTAGTGTAGCTTTTAGTTTCTGATAAGTCTCTGGTCCATATTTAAAATCTCTGTTTTCCTAACTGGATTTCCAATGTTCATTATTGTTTTCTGTACAGGAATTGTAGTTTTCTTACTTGCTTTTCCTTTTCTTTATTCTCCCCATAAAGAAGGACCAAATGAAAGTTCCAAAAAAACACACAACCTGCCAAACTATGAGACTATACTTCTTATTTGAGCCCCATTTCTAAACAACCTGAAGACTCCTAGTGTTTATGCACTCACTTTAATGGGGTTGTGTTGGTTTAAAATCTTTTTATTTTACCCATTCTTATGTCTTTTATATCATTCATGATTTAAAGTTTGCAGCTGGTAACACAACATAAAAGATATTAGTATTTAAGGAATACCCTGAGCATAAAATGTGCAAACAATATGTGCAGGGAGCACATTTGCTGATCAATGAGAACTATCTCTTTTAGGAACTTAATGCCCTGATAAGCCTGTGCCTGGCGGGTTTAGATCTGCACAATAATGATAATTATACCTAGTAATTATTTTATTTTCTTTTTATTGGCTCTATCTCCATGGCTGGTCTCAGCACTCGAGAATTATTACACACCATGTGTTGCATTAAACTTGATTTCTGTCTACCTACAACAGGTAATCTGCTGCTCAAGGCTGCAGCATGAAAGCCACAAAGGTGGGTGTGCATTGTTGCTCTTACCTGGTCACCCCCAACCTTTCCCTGAAGGTATCTGGGGATGCAAAAGAAGCAGCACTAAGCTAGCACAGCTCTATGTGACTTCTTTCTCCAGAAATCTCTCTCACTCAAGTCTCTAAATGTGATCTTCAACAATTTTATCTCAGAGTTTTCTTCTGCTCTACCTCTTTGACACTTGAGGGATACATTCAGCCACATTCCTTTTGAGATAACAGTCAAACAGTGAGATAGCAGTGGAAAAGGATATTGCTACTTGTTTGCTGTCTGAATTATTGCTATTCTGCTTAATGGGTCTCGGCTAAGAAAGCACAGCATGTTGTCATAAACAGCTGGTGGCTCTTGGCATTAGTGTTTTGGCCTGGGAAGATGATGTTTGCTTTTGCTGGCCAAGAAAACTGACAAACATTCTACATGTTTATCTGGATCTAATGTACTAACAGCATTAGTATTAATAATCATGCTACAGGAATATAGGTCTGAGTATGCAGCTTGTGTAGGGACAGTCACGATTTAGAAACTCAAATGGAGTAAACCCTTCTTTCTACTCGCACTGAAATCTATTGATGTCAACTGTATTTGGAAGGCCAGAAGAGTTGTTG